GGCTATCACGTACCATGTCGAACATCACGGGAAGCTTCCTAAAATTCTCCATCAAGATCTGTTTGACCTCTGATTCAAGGGAGATTGCTGCAATTATAGATACTTCCTTCAGATGCTGTTGTAGCTCCAATAACCGGGAAAGTGCGTCTGCTTGACCTATGTCCTTTGTAGCCGTGTACTTCACCGCAAAATCATAGGCGAGTAAGGCCGTGGCCCAACGCTGCAGTCTGTTCGCGGTATAAACGGGTATACCGGACCTTGATCCAAATATGGCTGGGAGTGGTTTATGGTCGGTAAGCAGGGTAAACCTCCTGCCATACAACATTTTGTGAAATTTCTTTATTGCAAAGACTATCGCTAATGCCTCTTTCTCTATCTGCCCGTAATTCTTTTCGGCTGGCGACAGTGATCGAGCTGCGTGTGCGATCGCTTTTTCCGATCCGTCAGCAAACTTATGAGAGATAACTGCACCCACGCCATACTTCGAAGCGTCTGCCGCCACCACGATTTCAAGTGTAGGGTCGTAATGTGTCAGCAAAAGGTCAGAACACAGCATTCGCTTCACCTCCTCAAAGGACTTCTGACAATCTTCGGACCAGTGCCAACGTTTGTCCTTGGTGAGTAACTCATTGAGTGGTCCACGCACGCTGTGCATATGTGGCAGAAATTGACTGTAATGACTGACGAGTCCTAAGAAGGACCTCAGAGTAGGCACATCTTTGGGAGGTGGCATCTTTTTTATAGCATCAATGTTTGACGGATCTGGACGTCTACCGTTCTTGTCAATTATGAAGCCAAGAAAATTAATGGAGTCCATGAAAAACGTGCACTTTTCTGGGCGAAGTCTAAATCCGTACTCTTGTATGCGATCAAGTACTAAGTGCAGCTTTCTGAAAAGGTCATCTGGGTTAGTTCCGACGACAATGATATCGTCCAAATATGCGGCAGCACCATCTACATCTGTTAGCATAGTATCCATGATTTGCTGAAAAATTGCTGGCGCGGACTTAACTCCGAATGGAAGTCGATGATACTGATACAAACCTCGGTGCGTATTTATCGTCAGTAATTCTCTAGAAGCTTCATCAACTTCTATTTGTAAGTACGCATCCGATAGATCTAGCTTGGCAAAACACTGACCCCCATTTAGTTTCGAGAACAAATCATCTGGGACTGGCAGAGGATACTGATGCGTGTTTAACGCTTCATTCAGCCCAGTAGAAAAGTCGGCACATATTCGGATCTGGCCGTTCGGCTTCTTGACAACCACAATTGGAGCCGCCCAAGAAGAGTAGTTCACTGCATAGATAACCCCAAGTTTCTCCAAACGATCAAGTTCCTGGTCAACAATTGGGACTGCTGCGTAAGGTACTGGCCGCTTTGCACGGAAAACAGGAACAGCATCGGGTTTTAAGGACAATGAGGCTTGCAACTTTGTACACTTACCAAGTCCTTCACGGAAAACAGGTGCATATTTCTCTCGAATTTGTTCGATTGCCATTGCCTTGGGGACTTTTGGTTTGTGTAAGTGTACACTTGCACAGATTTGATTAATGGGAACATCTAAGAGGTTGAATCGCTCAATCCAGTCTAATCCAAGGAGGTTCAAATTCTTGTGTGTTGTGACGAAAATAGTTCCCCAAGCGGTGAAGTTGGCAAAGCGACACTCACATTCAATCTGACCGATCAAGTTTAGACTCGTACCTGATGCGCTCTTCGCTTTATGGTTAGTTGGTTTAATGTCAGGTGAACCGATAGCTTTCCATAAGTTTTCCGTAATGACTGTAATATCGGAAGCCGTATCAATCTGCAGACGCGCTACTCTTCCGTTGATGGTAATAGTGACGAACTTTCTTCTATCTTTAACATCGTCCGTATAGTTAGCGTTTACTCTTGTCGCGAACCTTCGGTAACCTGCTTTTCGAGTATCACATGACGATCTAAATGATGTTTTGAATCTGCAGTGGGTCTCCTTGTGCCCCCGTCTAAAGCACCTTTGACAAACATGTTTGCTGAAAGGACACCATCTCACAAAATGCCATCCTCCGCATTGCCAGCAAGGTGATGGGGGTTTGGATTGTGGATATCTGCTAGGTTGAGCGGTCGGTGGGTTGTTTCCTGAAATTTGCTGGACAGATATATCTGCGGAATGTGCTCTCGAATCTTCCACCATAGCCGTATCGTGCTTTAAATTCATGATTCTTTGGGCTTCAGCAATGGCGTTTTGTAATGTAACATCTGTGTCGCGTTCCAACATACCAAGTATTCTCGTTCGTATCTCGGCGTCTTTTGGGGACTGTAGACTGCATACTAGTATCAAACACTCGAACTGGTCTTCCGTGAGCGACTTCAGTTTGAATTTCTGGCATTCACGTTTGACTATCGCCGCGTGAGCAATAAGACTGTCATTGTCCTTTTTGCATAGCTTTAGACAATTGTATCGGTTATTGAAAAGAGACGACTGGTCTCCAAACAACGCTGTGAGTCGAGCAACTGTATCATCAAAGCTGAAATCATGCGCGTTGTTTGGCAAAATGTAGTTAATGTATCTGTCATGTTCAACCGTTCCGAGTTTTCGTAACAAAAGGCGAACTTTAGATGCATCATCGAGACCTGACAACTCTGCCCTGAAAACATCTTCATAGCGCCTGAACCACGCATCGAATATTAATCCTGAGTCAGGATCGAATATGAACTCATTAACACTACTGATCATCGCATCCGCCGAAGGCTTCCCATTGTTCTGAACGACCGTAGGCTGCACAGATAACATTTGGGTGAGGGTTTCAATCATACGCAGCTGTGCTGTTTCAAATTGCTGCTGTTGCTGCAACAAAATGATTTTCAGGTCTTCCGCTGAAATTGACATCTTGATCCACTACCTTCCGTCGCCAAAAATATATGTTATGGTTTCGGCTGACCTACCGATGACCTGCTGCTAGCGTGCACTCTGATCAGCCCGACTTCCCAAAGCAGGAGACCGGCGTACGGCTGGCACGTATATTTTGCTTAACCACGATTTTATCCAAACAACATAGTAGCATAGTCGAAGTGGTTAAAGTTAGATAATTTGCTCCGATTAGTACGTCATCGGCGTACTTGAGCATAATGGCTTATTCAGGGACAAGAATGGAGCCAACGTAGGTAGCGAATAAGAATAGCGACAAAATGGTTCCTTGAAGGAAGGGAATAGTGGTAAGAGGCAAGGAGATCCTGCTGTTGCACCCGGTTATCTGAGTACCTTCGGCAAAATAATCTTGTAGCAAGAAGGCTATGGATGGTTGGATACCAGAAGCCAGCAGATCTTGCAACAAGATTTCACGTCTAACACAACCGAAGGCATTGGTGTAGTCAAGGGAGCATCCACGGTTGGCTTTGTTCATACTGTCTAGTGGCGATAGCACTGAGTGCACTAGGCAAGCCATTGTGTCTCGTGTCGACGTCGAA